AGACCAACTGAATCAAGAATACACTACAGTCTTTTTCCAAGAGGGGTCTCACTGCCTGTCTAGACTGTGAACGAATAGTTTAGTCTTATAAGGAACCGATAGGTGATCTGTTCGAAACACTTCGAACCACACAATCTCAATATAAGACATGGAGTATGATTTGCATAAATAAATAAACTGCAAACATATGTACTTTGACCGAAACATGATGGCCAGATCAAAATGGAATTGATAGAATCTGCAAAACATAGCTTTTACAACATACCTCTAACAACCACGTTTTCGAATAGCCGTTTCCGTGATTCAAAACAACCATATCTCTTTGGTAGTGTGTCGAAGTTTATCTAAAATGCTTCATTTTTTTTATTTTTTTTATTTTATAATAACTATGTGACAATTATACATCAGAACAACTTTCCTGTAATAATTCCATATTACTTGCCAATTTACCAAAGAGAAAATTTTAAATAAATTTATGTGACGATTAATCTTGGGGTTTGGTCATTCAAACTTCAAACGACCGTCTGCTGCTGTAGGTCGAGTTCGACCAGGCTATCAGAGGGCTCTAGCTCAACCTACTCTTCCTGTACCTAAATCCCCTTTAAGTTGTCTTCCAATCCAGAGGCTATTGTACTTGTGATATTCGACCACAACCACCCCATTCGGACTCTGTTCGACCAGGTTGCTCATTCGATTATGTTCGACCGGCCTGCTAGACCAGTCTGCTCCTTTAAGTATAATATCCGTTATATATAAATGGATATTTCAGACCTATTTTTTTTTTTAATTTGGAAGTAAATTAAAATTTATTCAAGCCAAATAGCAATGCATGAAAATTTGCCACATAGAATCCCGAAGTTTGCAAGTCTTCCCCTTATATTCAGCACATTCAAGAATTATACATAGAAGATTTGCTTACTACCATAAACTAGTTCACATGTCCTGCGGTCATCATCGGACCTGAAGGGTTCCTAAGTAATCCATTGTGGATTGGTCTCCACTAGACTCGCAGAGTCTCGAGGTCGCCCTCGGTCCCAAAGGGCCTGTGGGTCTCCCTCAGTCCCGGAGGGTCTGGAGGCCGCCCTTCTACCCTGTGCGCTTCCGTTTCCTTGGTCTCCGAACCAGCTCGAACTGTGCTGAGCTAAGACTTCACACTGGTCCAGACGGCCTACTCCTGAGGGCCATATCATCTAGCCTCCACATTCATTTGGTGAGCTGTTAGGACTTGTCAAAACGTCAATGGAGCAACCAGGACGACATCAGTGCATAGATCCATGTTCCTATCACTTTGTCTGCTCCACGTGTTCCAAGACTCCACACATGTCCCTTCAACTCCAATATTCTTCTATACGCTTCGTACCGTAGACAGCCTTTCAGAATGGACGCCTCTGATTAACCAACCTTTCATGTCAGGCCAGTCCACCTCCCTCGATCTTAGCCTTACACGTCAATCTGATCTATGCCTGCTATACCAACCACTTTCCTCTACTCTATAAAAGTTGCTTGGAAAATCAATCACCTTTTGTGCTCTTTGAACATTAGAGCTTCCAACAAGAAATTACAACAGCTTTAGCATATTTTCCGGCAGCCCCTCATCTTCCCCGGCGAATCTGCTTGTCTCATTGTTGAACAACTTCATGGGTGAGTAATATTTAATTTTTCGTTAACCACCGTCATTTATGCATGTTCCCTGTGTTATTTATTTATCTTTTCGTTTTACCATTAGAACACCGCTCCCCCACTACAAATTTGAGGACTCCTTCCCTTTCAAACTCAGAACTCCTAGGAGAACCCTAAGTGACCCTAGCCCTACCTACTCCTCAGGGTGCGACCAATCAGGTTACTGTGATCGTGAGCGTCAAGGCAAATGGAATCTCTCCTCTTGTCTGGATAGTAAGACCTAACCCTATATTTTTCTATTCAACCAACAAAGTTACCAACCTTCTTCATGAGGTTGAGCTACCTCGGGGCTGGGATCTATGGATCCCCTGAGATGGGGATATCTATTGGCAACCTCTTCTAGGTTGTTACACATTCTTTCTTGACCAAGTCGAGGACGGGCTCAAACTACCTTTGCACGACGACCATGTAGAAATTAGACGGTTATACCGCTTGACGTTAAACCATTTTTCTCCCAATTCCATCAGACTCCTTGTCGGCTTTATCATGGTTTATCGGGCTCGATTAGGTAGGATTGACCCCGACCTTTCCTTCTATTGCTCTAGATGGAAACCAAGAGAGGCTCATATTATCTCTCGAACCGCAATGGTGCGAGCTTCCTAAAACAACCCATAAATCCAATGTTCACAACTGGAAGCAAGTATTACTTCGTCCGACCTCCGCTCAACTCTTTTGATTTCTCGCCAAGTGGCTGTATGAGCTACCCAATCAACGAAAAACCCCCAAACCGAACTCTGAGTATGACACTCTCATCGCCCAATGGAATAAGTGACCTCTCCATGTGGTGAAGCTGACCTCCGACATGCAACTCCTATTACATTGCAAGCTATCTAATTGCTCAATAGGATTGATCCATGCCAAGTCCTTTGGTGAGCTCCAGTTGAGCTTGGGAAGGCGGTGCCACCTAGGAATTTTGATGGAAGACTTGATCGCTGCCTCGAGTTCAAGGAAGGAAGGAGGCGCGCCAAGAACTCGTTGTAGGGTTCGCCGACATCGAAGGAGATGAAACATTTTTTTTTTTTTTTGTCTAATTATTGTCAATCTCATCATTTACGGAATTAAAGGAAGGTATAACAAGAAACTCGTGTTAGGCATTTTTATAAATATTTGGTTGATAATCAGTAAAGATGTTAATAAAATTAACCAATCGTATGAAAATATTTCCAAAATATGGAGCAAGCATGTAAATGAGCATTTCTTTATTTGCAAATGATAGAAACTAGGACAATACTCCTCCATGAACGCTAATTGATTATTTTTATGGCTCTTTTCCATATGTATAGTTAACTCTTCCTAAATAATTGCACATATATTATTCAAAATTTTGCAATTATACCACAATCCTAAAAAAAATGTGCGTTTATACACACAACCTAATCCATAATTCGCGCAGCACATCCACAATTGCCTCATCTTCCTCGTGTTGCGACCACAATTCTCTCTTATTCCTACTCTGTCGCTGCCGCCACAAAATCTCCCCGTAATCTCCGATCTCCTTCTCTTTGTCGCGCACGGCCTACCCCTTTTTACCCAAAATATCTGAAATCTCCTGGTCGCGCTCGTCATGGAAACGGTGTTCGTTTTGTTAACGTCCTGAGGGCGCAGTTCGTCGCGGTCACGGTGGTGCTAGTTCACGCCGTCGTGAGGAGGTCCAACAATTTGGTCGCCGACGAGGAGGGTTTATAAATTTCAGTTGTTCTAGGACTGTTCTGATCTGTAAGTTCTGAGTTGTAAATTTCGGTTGTTCTAGATGCGCAGAACGAAGATGAACAATCCGATCTGAGATGCTCAAACTCCGATTAACTCCGCATGAAGAACTTTGTCCCAGATCGGGCGTCACCTCTCTCGATGTTTATTTTACATTTTTTATACATTTATGTTTGGTATATGATTCGAATATTCGTACCCAATTTTGTCCTAAATCAGTCACCGCCTATCTCAATGTATATTTTATATTTATTATACGTTTATGTGTGGTATATTAATCGAATTTTCGTACCCACCAGGAGATCTGATGATACAAACACTTTTATAAATTAAAAATAAACTATACATAAACTTATAAAAAGTAATAGTTGGTAAATTTACAATAAAAAGCTGGTACATGTGCAAATAATTATTGTGAATTTGGTAGGTTTGCAGATAAATATATATTGAATGTATATGTGCAATATAAAGAAAAATAGTTGATATTGGGTGCAAATTCTTCTATTGTTATCCCCGATAACATACATATCCTCCCCCATTTCTGCAAACATGCCCTAATGATCAGAAGTATGCTTGGTAACAAGCTTAAATCCAGAGTACACAGACACAAATTACGTTATTAAAGGAAGAAGAATTGGGCACGACATGATTGATAGTACCAAATCTAGAAGTGTCACCTAGTAACAAAATGTCCATAAAAGTTTCAGCTGCTGACATTACATCAATTTCTTGAACAAATGAATTTCTCTTGTACTTGATCTTCAATATCATTTGGCATGCTTTATTGCTTATGAATATGCATATATAAACCTTGAATGTTATATAGAAATGGACGTGCTTATCTCATTAATGCCTCACTCTGTGGCGTCTCTCAACGTCAAAGTGCACATCCAAAAGTCCCGTTATTCCAGCCTCGATTTTTTGTCCCATCTTAACTGGGCCAACACCTTGTGGAGTCCCTGCACGAAATGGAAGAGAAGTGGACCAGGTAATGCAAATGAGACTGTACGCCTTGGTGGCACACCATAATTTTTAGGGTGATGCAAAAATTACTAGACTATATATTACTTCATTTTCCTGCAACAAGGTAGTTACGGTTGACAAGTCGGAAAAAACCATGGATGGCAGACTGGTTGCTGGAAAGATTCACATAAATGTAAATTAAATATTTGTTTTTCTTTTTGCACCTCATTTTGCAATTGTTAGCAAAAAAATTTCAAGAAGTTAGCACTATTACACATATCACATTTCTCAGTCATTTGTCAGCATCAAATTATTATTTTCACACTAGGGAAACAAAACAAGAAAAAGTAGCACCACTATCATCATCAATCACAATCGAAAACACAAAAAAAAGTTAGTACTCTCTCAATGTTTTAAAAACTAGTGCTCTATGGGCGGCAGAAGATCTAGTAACTAGAGCGCTTAGGTAGGGATTAGACAGAGCCTGAGCGGAGTCGTAAAGATGATAATAAAATTATTTACACCTATCATCATGCATAACTTAAAAGATACATTACATAAAATATGTATATGAGGGCATAGGCGGCACATGGACTGGTCGCCGTCAAAACCACCTAATCAAACTAACTCCACAGCCGCCCAGACTGCCTAGATGGCGCTTAATTGTCCGAGTGACTATTAGGGCCGCCTAGATGAAAATTTTGGCATCCGATTGCCGCGTAGAACTTGTGCCTATCCCGATTTTTAGAACACTGCTCCCTATAACTAAAAGTTCCATATCGTTTTCTCATATAATTTTTTGCATTACTCTCCAAAACTACAAAGGAATAGGGGGAAAAAAGGCTACGCAAAACAAGTATCAAATGACAGGTGGTCCAGAAAATACTGCCGCAAGTATGAGGAAAAATAACTCAAATATAGGGCGAATTCCAAATTTTGTATCAAAACATTAAAATTTGAAACTAATAATGGAGTAGGTATGTCAAAAAATAGCAGGAAGCAAGTCTTATTTGTTACCTGTCAGGATTACATCACCCTCAAGTAGCGTAAAGATAGAACTTATGTGGCTAATCAAGAATGGGATCTTAAATATCATATCACTTGTAGATCCCTTCTGCCGTATTTCCCCATCAACCTAAAAAGGGAAAATGATTAGCAAATGCAACAAAAACGCGGAGCATCCTTAAGATTTTAAACTAAATGAGCCGTACCTTTAACCATAGTTCTACATTGTGAGGGTCTGGAAACTTAGACTTTGGTAACTGTAGATTCAAAAGTAAAAAGGGAATACAGAATTATGCGCTTCAGAAGAAATTAGTGCTTTATAAGTAAGCGACTTTGGATGAACTCAAATGTCTTATTAAGTTGCTACAGTCCTTTGAGGCAGTTCATCGTTCAAGATCAAGTATATCTAATTTTGTCATGAATATTTCGAAGTAAAACACTTGATTTTGTTCAAACCAGAGAGAGAGAGAGAGAGAGAGAGAGAGAGAGAGAGAGAGGAGCAACAGATGAGGCAGCTTCATTTAAAACTACAATGATCAGATATTGCAGAAAGAAAATGTTGTTTTCTATTCTTCATATGCAACAGAAAGAATTCTTTCTTTTTTTTCCCTTTATTGTTATTATTTTATAATTTTTTTATTATTATTATTTATTTTTTTTTTTAATGCTTATACCTAAATATGTACCACCTCCATCCATAAAGGCAGCAAAGCACTTCCCTTTTATTTTGTTCCAAAATTTAGCACATTTTTGAGATTTGAAATGTTCATTTTCTGTTCAACCTTGTAAATGCTCCTAAAGAATGTACTATGGCACAACTGAATCATTAAATATCTTGTTCTGACAAAAGCTATTGGAGGGTGTAGTTGTAAACCTAATATTTAAAAGTTGTTGTTAGAAGTTAGAACTGCACCATTTTCCATTTTTTGATATTTGCGACAGTGGAAAAGTGCTTTCTTTGTGGACGGTGTTAGTAAGACAATGTATGTAAAAATGACACTATTCGTCTTCAGTCAGATCCATATTCGATTAGCACCATATATCAAGGCAAAATGTGCAAACTGATTGATTTCTTACAACAGAGCTGATAGGCGTGAACGTATCTTGGCCTTTAGCCACAGACCATGGTAGACCTGCCGACTTTTGACACAAAATTAAAAGAAATGGTGAGAAGACTACAAAGATCAAATAAAGAGAGAGAGAGAGAGAGAGAGAGAGAGAGAGTAAATCAGTGATGCCCCACCAAAAGCAAAGATGCATCATTCACTTTGATGCATTAGATGAGACCATGAAAGTACAGCTCTAAGCTGAATAAAAACTGTTATCCGCTAGAATTACACAAACCTTAGCAGTAGATTGGATTTCCCTAGCAGTCATGTCCAAAGCAAGAGCGTAACCTGGAAAACAAGAGCGTTCGAATGAGTCGATGAGAAATTTAAAAGTTTGACCTTCAAGGATCAAGTGAGAAAGATGAGAAGTATATAAGTATTACAGTGAGTGCACAACAATGGCTTTTATTTCTCCTTTCACGAAAAGCTTTTCTTTTTCCTTTCATAAGAACGTCTGAATTTGTTGTAATGCACCAAGTATCATAATACGAGAAAAGCAATTACCAGATTTGCAGCACATGCAATTGGTTAAAGTTTAATAATGTTAGAAATTACTGCAATACACCAAGATGGGACAAAAACGTACCACTACCACACATGCCATTAACTAGCATAATAATTCATGAAAATGCATGGATGTCATAATCAACCAACTGCCTAAATTTTTGACTTAATTGCATAAAAAATGGTCTCTATCAATCCATCAGCAATCAAACTTTCAAGCTAATGGGAAGATCTAGACATGAACTTTGCTTTGTACACAAAACACTTGGACTTGGAGAACAATTGTTATATACGATGCTTGGGTTTATGCTAAGGGGACCAAAACTGAGGCAATGTTAATCGGCTAACGGATTCCCCATCGAAGGTCTAAACCTGTGTTGCAGCGGAAAAGACAAGCGCATAATAACCTTTCTACGGAACCCAGTAAGTTGCACTACACTACATGTACCACTGTACAGAACAAGAATGTCACCCCGTTATAGTTACATTCACACTGCCAATAACTGCTATCAAGTCCTCTACTTATTAATTCATGTAAATGTTTATGTATGTATAATGCATGTACCATACCTCCAATGTAATCCATGGCCTTGGCTTCTGGCACGTCACGAGCTCGTTGACTAATGACCACCGCCAGCTCAACCTCGTGATCCAGCGACTCTAGCGGCTCTGGCACCTCAATCGTCCCGCCATTTTCCAAATACGACGACGTAGGCTTCAGAAAAAGCACAGGTTCCTTTGTAGAAGGGGGAAAAAACGATCAAATTCAAATCGAAGCAGATTGGATTGTACAGTTCACTAGATTTTGTATACAAATGAAGAAAGCGACGGGAATACCTTAGGTACGGCGTTTCCGAGTTCTTTCGCGTGAGCGGCGTAATTCCGGCCGACGGCGACGATTTTGGTGCCGACGGATACAAGTTTCTGGTACGCTGACGGTGATGCGGCCATAGGTATTGAGGTTGATTTGGTGGCGAGGAGGGTGTTGCTGGTCGACGGCTGTAATCCGAGGAATGAAGCACACATTATATGTATCGGTTTGTATTTGGTTTGGCGAGAGATAGATCAACAAGTGTTGTACAGTTGGCTTGATTCCTTGTACGTAGTTTTCAAACAAGTAGCTGTCTTTCCACGTGGAAATTAGTTCAACTAACCCGGGATCTTTATTTAAAGGGGCTAGTCAAATAAGATAATGGACAAAATGACCTTCTCAAGAATTTTTTTTGTTTAAATGACCCAGTAATTAAATAAAGATAAATATATGAATTACCTAAAATAACCTTATCAACATAAAAAAAAAAGAACAAATTTATTTGCCTGCGCGCGAGAGAGACACAGGACAGAGGCAACCTTGCTCTGCTTTCTCTTGAAGGGAAACAAACAAAAAATAAATAAATAAATAAATCATTACACATAAATTTTGGATTCCATATTAAAAAAAGAAAGTGTGTTCATGGTGGAAGAACAATAAAACAAAGCACTTATCTCCTTTGTTGTAGAGAAAGATGAAAGAAATAATTGTTGGTAGGATTGTTTTTATTTTACTTTGATATGTATTTTGGTTTCATATTTATGATTGATAATCATGTTGGATTCATATTTCATGATTTTTTGTATCATTCATTTTTTTTTTTCATTTTTGAGATGATATTACATCTTATTTTGCATAACGAATGTACAGTCGTTATGCAGTTTCATAACGAATGTACATTCGTTATCTGATGATTTTCTCATAACGAATGTGTATAGCGGGTGCGACACCAAACCGTTCGAGGAAGGTTGCTTTCAGGACGTCGCGGGTCGCGGGCGCGAAACCCAAAATTGGGATGCGGAAGCTCGCGATGCCTGGTAGCGAGCGCGACACCAAAGTTGTCGCGGGCCTTTTAGTTCAATTTTTTTTTTAAAAAAAATACTTATATATATATATATATACACACACACACATATATATATATATATACTTATAACGAAACTCGTTTTATGAAATAATACTTGTTTCATTTTAAAAATAGATAGTGATATGGGATATTATATCGGATCCGATTTAATAGATAAAGCGAATACATATTGGAAGATAAGCCCACTAAGACATCTAAGCCCAACGATAGGGGTCAGGCCCAACTTGGGCTCAAAAGGTACACTCCCCCTATAAAAGGGGGCCAAGGTACCCCATTCTCTCATACTCTCTCCTCATTCCATACTACACTCTTTATCTCTCTTGATCTGAGCACTGACTTAAGCATCGGAGGCCCGACGCCGGGGCCACCCCCGACGTTGGGTTCTGCAGGTACGGAGGCCGGTTCGATTTGAAGGAGCCCGGGTGAATCTTATTCACTTCATTGGCGCCGTTTGTGGGGACCCGTTCAAAAAGTCAAACGGAGTTCCGACTGAAAAAATTCAAAAACCTCCTTCTTCTCCACCGGCCGCCGCCACCGCCGGCCGCCACCTCTGCCGTCGGCCGCTGAAAAACGTGCTCCGATCGAAAAATCGTCTATGTTATCGGATAGATCTCCTCAAGGTGAATCTACCATTAAAATTTCATCCAAAAATTCCTACCGGAAGACCGTCAATTTTGCGGTCAAAGTTTATAGATCTAGCAAAAAGTTGGTCAAAATCGAACATTCAAAT